GAGTGAGATCCCAACTCACACTCCCAAATCACAGTGGTGGCTAAAAAATTAGAGTCCCCAAACTTGATTACGTTTCTCACTTTATTATTGCCCATTGGGGTGCACTTTTCAAAAAAGTTTATAGGAATTTCATCATAAAAAAATTATGTTTAACCTTAAAATTTCTTAGAAATGAAAAAAAAAATTCACACTTCGGATAGGTCTTATGAGTAGGTGTTTTAATAATACACTTTTTTTAGAAACCAATCAGTTTCTTGAAAAATAAATGTACTTAAGTTTTGTTTGTCCAAAAGAGTGGTCCTAAACCGACCAATTTTTAATCTATATTTCTTGAAATTCCATAATAATACTTTTTAATATTGTTAATGCCCCTTAATAGTATCTAAACACCTAACCTTAATTGTACGGTGCATGTCTAACTGGCGGATAGCAGCCGCATATCCGTCGCCGCCATATTAGACATTCGGGAGGCAAAAATAATTTATGCCCAGCCTGTGTCTGACCCCCTTTTTGGCCCCCGTAATGACCCCCACACAGCCGAAGTTCAGTTCAGTTCAGCCACTGGCAACCGGCAGGGAAAATTCCGGGCTGGGATGATACATGGACAGCATCGGAAATTGGTCGATTAGGCGGGGGAAATATTTCAAATGTGCTACAACAATAAACGACGTGAAGCCGGCCACTTCCTGAGAAGTGTTGGTAAACGCAATCAGGTCCTGACATTAGTATTATGAGTTATTCAATTTGTGTAACTAGAAAATGGGGATACATTTGTAAAGATTATTTTGGAATGATGTTCTAGAGGTCAATAATTTGATATCCGTTTTATGAAAGATGATATCTTTGTAAATGTTGAAAATATATAAAATTATAATTCCTTTTTTTATTATACCGACTTCAACCAACATTATTTTCTCTGTAAAGAATACTCCTCTTTTCCATAGCCTACTGTTCAGCGTGCGTTGTGAGTTTTCCGCTTTCCCAAGGGAAATTGACTTTGCCACGAGACTTCATCTTCCGACTTTTTCGCTCGCATTCCCATTGTTATTGGCGCTAATTCCGACGTGCTCCCAAAAACAATTTCCTGAGAGCGCACTCGCGATTGTCGTCGTCGTTTTCCACATCGTCTTTTGGCCACTTCGACGACTCGCCCCGATTTTTTAATAGATAGATACACATCGCAAGCCAGCGGCGCGATTAACCCCCAAAAAGAAGTGTCAACTTTCAACTCAACCGCCAAATGGCCAACCCCAAGGATTCGTGGCATTTTCGAGATAATTCTATTATTTAGCTTTTAAGTCTTCAGACATTTTATTAGCCAATTTTGGTTTTCAAAAGGAATATGAAATAAGGAAATATATTTTGATAGTTGAATAAAAAGTTAATTTAAAATTAAACCAATAGAAGAAAAATCAAAAAATTGTTGTTTAAACATCAAAATAACCAGAATATGCCAAAAATTAATTGAGATGCAAGAGGAAAAGAAAGAAATTATATTAACCCCGCAAAGAAAGTGTCAACCTCCGCAAAAAAGAGGACAAACCACAAGGATTCGTGTAATTTGCTTCACAAGTCTCGACGCTAGATGAGAAAACTTTCCCAGCTTTCGCAGAAATCAAAGCAATTTCATTACGGAAAAGCGGAAAAACCAAGAGTACGGGTGAAACAGAGCGAACTGAGTGAGAGAGAGGGAGTTAATAGCCCGATGCGTTGCTTTGGCAACTTTTGCCAACTTTTTGCAGCTCCTAGAAAGCGGTCGAGACCCTTTTGTGTGCCAAGATTAATGATGTGACTCGAGGATGACGACGTTTGGCATTACAAAAAGGAGGCAAAGAATTGGGGTTGTGGGCACTTCTGCCCTCTATATGCTAATCAAAATTCCATTCCCCAACATTGTTCTTGGCCTTGCTTTTCGACACTCGTAAATCATTGCACAAAAGCAAAAAAGCCAAGAGCAATTAGGCGCAACAAAGCAACAATTGCACTGATAACAACTTGAGTTCCGAGAGAAATTACTGGAAAATTATCGGGAGAGAAGAAAAAAAAAATAAGAAAGAGAAATCGGTAGCGCGTCGCTCTCTGTTGATAAGAAAAATAAAATTTATAACGAGTGTAATACCCCAAGCACGAGGAATAAGTTCTAATAAAGCTCTGTATAGCACTTTTAAACCAAAGTGTATATAGTTTGCATATATGTAACTCTAATGAGTCATCGAAAGAACTTTTCGTTGACTCAGCATTAGTAGTCCAGATTTTAACTCATGATACTGAAATACTGCGTATGTGTTTTACTTAAAACCATTGAATTTCACACTTATTTAAGATATTATCGGTAAGAAACCTTTGAAATGATAGTAAATTCTAACATCTACTCTTCGTGCACTTGAAGAGAAGGCAACAAGTTATCGCTTATCAGTAAGCTAATCCCTTTTTAAATAAGCCAACCCATTACGAAATGTTATAAAACTAAAGAATCCTTCTGAGCAACCACCTTGATAAGGTCTCAATTATTTATTGATTAAAAAATAATGCTGACCAAAAATGTAGTAGCAATAAAACTAACCTATGTGAAAATTTAAATAGGCGACGATTCTAATGGCGCCTAATGGCCCGGAAAATCGATTTCACCTTAAACAGAACTTAATGACTCTTTGTCACGCGTCAACGCGAAGAAGACAGCGCGAAAATCGAAGCAATAACAACAAATCGAATCAGATTGGCTGCAACGCCTACTCCAAATGTATTCCAAGGGTGAATTCCGCTGCTCCGCTTTCTAAATCGAGTTTAAATCGAAATTCCCAAGCGATTCGCCTCAGGCAATAACAAGAATAATAATAACAATCAATCAACTGGTAGATGGAAAACGTTTCCAGTGTAAACATTGCCAACAAGTCTTTGTATAACTCCGCTAACCCTCGTATCGCATGTAAACAGTGTAAATATCGATAACATTCTCGGTACTGCTAGAAATAAGGTCAGTGTAGATTAGGAAATCGCAGCGAGACGAGCACTAAAAAATAATCGTTAAGAAAAGGTTACTATACACAAGCATTTTGAAAATAACATATTGATTTCGCAGAAATTACTTAGTTTGTTTCAAAACATCGTAACCTGTGGGTTAGATTACAAGTTAAAGAAGATAAATATTTGGAAAAATTGAAAATAATAAGGTTTTCAAGATATGTATTGTAAAATACTCGTATTAGCATTGAGATAGTGAAACTAATCAGATCATATTCACTCTTTCATAGGTTTACTAGCTTTAATAAAGCAACAGGCTTGTTACACTTAATTTAAGTGGAAACGGAAGTCGTTTGCGAGTATCAAAGATCATAATAAAGTTAGTTTAACCTGCCGAAAACCGGCTATCAGCAATCACGCGAAATTCTACACACAAATTAAACATGACCATGTAGTAAAATTTGTTTTTTATCAGGGTGTATTTTCTGGCTATAACCTGCAATTGTTGTAAATGCACTTGCAATAGAATTGCCACGCTTATTCATTCAATTTGCTGGCACGTTTTGCATTACACACGACAACCCTGACCTACAAAGTGGCAAATAATAAAAAACTCAAGCCCCCTGCTTTTTGTTGCTTTGGATCGAAAATTGTTTGTGCTGTTTTGCTGGCGCTTGAGCAGAGTTTACATTGAATGTTATAAATAAATTAAAGGAACACAGCGTGGGAGTGTGTGTGTGTTGTGCGATTGTGTGTGAGGGGCCGGACAGTCTGAGTTTTCAAGCGATGCACGACTTGCGTTTAACATTCAACGCTAATTGCAGTTGATAAGTGGACAGCATTCCTCATCGCCAAACAGCCAAGCCTGAGCCCATTATTATTTCCTACCAGCACTATAGTGAAAATTGCATGCTAAGGATGTTAAGGGTTGACCAAAACAAAAGTCTCTCCTCTCTAATTGGTCATATAAATATGGTATGATTGTTAGGTACGCTAAATACAAAGATGTTTTGTTTCAAAATGGAAATATTTGAGGATAGTATAACATTGTTATTATCAAAATTGTATTAAAGTATAAGAATCATGAAAAAGAAAGATTTTTTAATGATTGTAAACCGTTATTTTTTGAGAACTAAAATGTATCTTCAAGATATACTATCTACTTAAACAAAAATGTATCTTCAACAATAAGAACATTATGCAATTTTTAAAAATTCTCAATAATTTAATTAAGTAATTTTTAAAATTAATGTAATAACAATAATTTATTGTTGTGAACGGATTAAAAAAAAAATAATTAGTTAACAATGGGATTCCTTGTTAAGACTATCCAATTTCTGATAAGTTCTACCGATAACAACCTGCTATTCCAGCGTCTGGCTTTTACCATGTAATTATTCGGCCATAATATTTATGGCCCTGGCGAAAACCAAGCACAAACAAACCGAAGCTGGTGAATTTTTGGTTTTTATGGTTTTTGTCTGCTTTCTTCCCAGCAGCAACAAACACACACACACACATCGAAAGACATGAGGGTTATGTGAGCTACATTTACATCTGCTTAAGACAGTGACGGATACTTTCTCTTTTCCCCGCTCGAGTGATGAAACTCATGTTAAAAATAGAATGGCGAGCGAGTGAAGAGCGACCAATGGAAATAGCTGCCTCTTTCCATTCATATTTTTGTGTGATTTAGTTTTTTTTCATTCTTCTTTTGCGATGAAAACTATTAATTATGCTGGTTTTTGTCACTGTAGAATAGCCGAATTGTTGGATTGTTGGGAGATGTTTACAAAGTTCAAGTGTTTGGGAGCAGCTGCGCAGCCAGCGTTTCGAGAGAGCGCGTTTATTTTTAGCCCGAGAGAAGAACGACAGGCGAAAGAGCAGCGAGAGCGAAACAGCGAGAAGAGAACATGCGCAAAGTGCATTTTTAAAATCAAAATTGGATGCTGCACGCTCTCGCTCTCTCTCTGTCTCGGAAAATAGTCAGCGTGATTACGAGTGTGGTAATTTTCTTTTTTTCTTTGGTATTTTCTCACCTGGTCGATCCAATGACTGTCTGCGACTCATTGGCAAAAGATTTGTGCTGCTTGTGTTGTATGGTGGTTTTTTTTGGGGGGCTTTTAGAGACAAAAACGTCGGCCAATGCAAATTATGCCAAATTTGATTGCTTCATTGGTTATTTGTTGTTATTGCTGCTGGTGGCTGGTAGTTCCTTTTAATGCTATTGCTTTAGCTTATTTCCTTTTGCCGCGCTGCTTCTTACTCAATTCTATACACTCAACACACACACACGCGGACATTTTTCGAATTTCATTTCACACGCGACTGTTGACTTTCTTTTTGCCCCCTCTCTCTCTCACGCTATTCCTTCTTCTTCTTCTTCTGAGAACACGACAGATGATGATTTTGGTGTTGTTGTTGCTGGGGGGCTCTTTTGATTTGAGGTGTTGCTGCTTCGGCTTGTATTGCAATTTGTGACGTGTTGTGGTGATTTGTTTGTTGCTGGCTTGTTGTTTGAAAAACGCTTTTTTTGACACACACCACTCACACACACGGAAGCAGCCAGCACACACACTCACAAACACACACGCACGCACACACTCACGCTCGCGCGTCACGTCAATGAACGCAGCAGCACGTAGTTGTTGTTTTCGTCACTGATTCTCGCTTTTTACGCACATTTTGCTGGCTTATCGAAGCACTGCTCATCCGAGCCTTGTTTATTTACATTTGCGCTAATTTTTTTTCTCGATTTTCGCCGATTTTATTCGTTTGGCGAGCGCGCACCCCGCAACAAACTTTTTTAACAAAGAAGACGGGAGAAAATGGTGAATGCGAATGCTGGGGCTGGAAAAGACAGAGTTTTAGACGATACTATCGGGGTATTTTTGTAACGAGCGTCTGGTCACACTGCGTTTTTGTACCATAACAGAAATGTTACGATAACATTAGCGAGTGCAACCTCCCTGATACTATCGTTGCTAGCAAAATCTATTCTCATTGCACGATATTTAATTTATAAAATAATTATACTGACAAGGGTCCGGCTATTAAAAAACTTCGTTGTGAAAATAGGTAAACACTAGAGTTGCCACCCAACTGCGCAGATGTTTCTTAGGTTGTAAATAAACATTTAGATTTACTTTACTAACTCGAAAGATTGTATTTCACATTTAATTTAGTTCTAATATTCATAGTATTAAGAAATAATTTTTATATTCAATATTTACACAACTTTATGAAATAGAAGGTGATATTTTGAAATGCGGAACTAAATATAAAAACAAGCGCCTGACAGCCCTGGAGAAACAAAACATTCGCTGGCGCAGACATTGGGTCGGGGACATGTGCTAGAGCGAGATGGCTGACGGCGGTGGGGCGCTTACACTGCTTCCGTCTCCCTCGCGCACGAAGAGGTAGAGAAGAAAAAAACCAAAAGGAAACTGGCAAACTGGCGAATTTCACACAACAATTGACAATAACATTTGGCAGTTACACTGTGAACGATTCTGACGGCTGTCAACGCTCGCGGGGCAAACAGTTCGTTAATTAAAGCATTTCCGGAGATTTCCCGCACTTTTGCTGCACTCCGAGTTCGACTGCCTGAATCGATAGGTCGATAGGCGGCTGGCCGTTCCCTCCAGCGCTGACCAACACTGGCTGGCCGATATCTAACTATCGTATAATGCATTAACTCGACTTCGACTTTAATCGGTCATCGACCGTGCACTCACCAACACTGGCTGGCCGATAGCCATTTAATTACAAAAAATAAATATAAATGAAGTGAAGCGGACGCAGCAATAAAAACAAAGAGAGATTGCTACGATCAAAATGCTACGGGTAAGTGACCTTATCGGCGAGGAGAACACCCATCATATATAGCTTTCATAATGCACACACACACGTATATCTTTCTGGGCCGCAGGCAATCGGGAAACGGGACAGGGACATCTTCGAGGAGGTTTGGCCGGACAAAAGACGGATAGTGTTGAAGCTGCTGCGCCAGGACACTGTGTCGCAGCGCGAGTGGCAGGACCTGTTCTTCGGCGTCCACTTCGTGTGCCTGTGGGACGAGAAGGGTGCGTCCAAGATCTACGACTGCCTGCAGCAGGACATCGTCGAGTTCATCGTCCAGGCGCAGAGCCAGGTGCAGGCCCAGCGGGGCGAGCAGGCCCTCCTGGCCACCTACATTGTGGAGTGGCGCAAGTTCTTCACACAGTCCAACTACCTGCCGCTGCCCTTCCGTCAGCTGGAGCAGTCGCCCCAGGTTAAGCCCTCGTCCAGTGGCAGCAGCTCCTCCGCCACCGTTTCCGCCTCGGGAGCGAGTACGAGTGCTGCCGCGGCGGCAGCAGCCTCCTCCTCCGCCGCCGCCTCCTGCAGTGGTCAAGCCGCGAAGTCGGGAGCCTCCACCTCATCCGCCGCTGGAGCCTCCACTTCTGCCGCTGCCGCTGCTGCCTCCACATCCGCCTCAACTAGCTCAGCAGCCGCGGCTGCAGCGGCCTCCGGGAGCGGGAGCACCAGCAGCACTTCGAAGAAAAACCCCACGGAGGACAGCCCTGTGCGGAAGCTCATGCTGGACTCCTGGAACAAGCACATCTTCCACGACATCAAGCACCGCCTGCAGGAGTCGGCCATGAAGATTGTGCACGCCGAGCGGAACGGCGATGCCTACGATGCCCAGCTGGTGGTGGGTGTGCGCGAGAGCTATGTGAATCTCTCCTCGAATGTCGAGGACAAGCTGGAGATCTACAGGGATAACTTCGAAATGGCCTACCTCAAGGCCACGGCCGAGTTCTATCGCCTGAAATCCGCGGAGCAACAGCAGGAGAACGGAGTGCTGGCCTACATGAAGTACGCCGACTCCAAGCTGCGAGAGGAGGAGGTGCGGGCCAAGCGGTACCTGGAGCCCAGCAGCTTCAGCATACTCACCTACACGCTGGTCAAGGTGCTCATAGTGGATCACCTGAACTCCATTATCGCCGAGTGTCCGGCCTTGATCAGGGACTACGAAACGGAGCGATTGAATCTCATGTTCCGCCTTATGGACCGGGTGCTGCATAACGTGGGCGTGGAAACCATGATGGGCGACCTGCAGCGGCACATCATAACTGCCGGACTGGCCGACATGCTCTCCGCCTCGGAGGTGATCACCCAGGACTCGGAGAAGTACGTGGAGCGGCTGCTCGAGCTGTTTAACAAGTTCAGCGACCTGGTGCGCAACGCCTTCAACGACGATCCCCGCTTCCTCACTGCCCGCGACATCGCCTTCAAGACGGTGGTCAACGACACCAGCGTGTTCAAGATGGAGCTGCCCACGAGTATCGCCAATAGAGGTGTGAAATACACGGCGCCGGAGAGCAAATGCCCGGAGCTGCTGGCCAACTACTGCGACATGCTGCTGCGCCGAACGCCGCTCAGCAAGCGCCTCACTAGCGAGCAGATCGACGCTCGCCTGCGCGATGTTCTATTGGTCCTGAAATACGTCAACAATAAGGACGTCTTCATGCGCTACCACAAGGTTCATTTGACGAGACGGTAGGTTGAATTCCAGAAAGATATCTTTCATTTATCTAAATAAGTAAATTGAGATTGCTCCTAGAAGGTTACTCAAGTTTATGTCAACATTTTGTATAATGAATTGCTTTATAGTATTCATGATGAGATGATGCCAATGCCAATGAACCCATTTTCTTGTTCCCTCTTTACTTAACAATTTGCATTCCATTTCAGTTTGATTCTGGGAACCAGTGCGGATAGCGAAAAGGAGGAGGACATTGTCGAGTGGCTGCGTGAGGTCGGCATGCCGGCGGACTACGTGAATCGGCTGGCACGAATGTTCCAGGACATAAAGGTGGGTTCCAAAACGCGGCTTGCCTTCTAAATTATTTTATTTACACTTCTCTTAAATCGCCAGGTCAGCGAAGATCTTAATACTCAATTCCGCACGTCGATAAGGCGGCACGATGCTATCAACATTAAAATACTCAACGCAGGGGCCTGGGCCCGCTGCTCGGAGCGTGTGTCGGTCTCACTGCCCATCGAGCTGGAGGATTACATCCCAGATGTGGAGGAGTTCTACAAGAAGAAGCATTCCGGCCGTAAGCTGCAGTGGTATCATCACATGAGCAACGGCACCATCACCTTTGTGAATAACTTTGGCCGTTACGATCTGGATGTGACCACCTTCCAGATGGCCGTCCTGTTTGCCTGGAATCAGCGTCAGCACGACAAGATCTCCTACGAGAATCTCCGCCTGGCCACGGAGCTACCAGGTTGGGATAATTAATATATTTTCATACGGCTTATATTTTAATACTTTGAAACCGTTGAAGATCCCGAACTGAGACGAACTCTGTGGTCTCTAGTGGCGTTCCCCAAAATCAAGAAACAGATTCTGTTAATGGAACCGGCGGCCATCAGTTCGCCCAAGGACTTTGCCGAGAACACAGTGTTCTATATCAATCAAGAGTTTGCCATTGTCAAGAATGGCAAGTCCCAGCGACGTGGAAAGGTGAGTACAGATATCAATTAGTTTATGGGTAATCAGTAACCTGACTTATCTCCTACCAGCTCAATCTCATTGGGCGACTGCAGTTGAGCACGGAACGCTCGCAGCAGGAGGACAATCAGTCCATTGTGCAACTGCGCATCCTGCGCACACAAGAAGCCATCATCAAGATAATGAAGGTGCGCAAGCGGATGAACAACGCAGCGCTGCAGGTGAGTGATTGAGTTGTCAGTCGAGCCTATCAACACGATCTAAGAAAACCTTCCTCCCACAGGGTGAACTCATCGACATACTGAAGAACATGTTCCTGCCGTCCAAGAAGATGATCAAGGAGCAGCTGGAGTGGCTCATCGAGAACAAGTACATGAGACGAGACGACGACGACATCAACATGTTCATCTACGTGGCCTAATCACCTGCTCCTGATCCCGGCTCTAGTCTCAGTCCCGTCTAAGCAATCATTCCCATTTCCATTCCCTCACACGCTACTCAAAAAATATCGCCGCAGCGATTTTAATCTCAACGCCGACGTGCTCAAAGCACGCGCCCTGTTTCTGTTTATATGGAATTGGATAATTGTATTATATGGAAACGTGATTCGCTACTGACATTGCGTCCTCAGAGCATTTAAAAGACCCACATTTCAATCTAAAGCCGCTTCTCGTGTCCACATCCTGTATTCATATATGTATTCGTATTTGTGAAACTTTGTATTTTTATATTGGCCCCCCTGGCTGCACAGGTGTGTAGCTCTAGGTATTATGTTTTGTGCGGTAATTGCACCCTGAAATTCCACGCCCACGCCCTGCCCCCGAGTAATATCGATCGATAGCGTTAATCTAATCAACCTGCTGTTTTCTATGTGTGTAGTTCTCCCCTGTTTGTTTCCGTTGCCTGGTCTTCTGTTGATTCTTGGGTATTTTGCAATGTTCCACGTGAGACTCACACACCCCCACAGGGATTGTAACCTCGAGCGGAGGCCAAATCCTCGCCTCCGGTCACTCCCAGCATGGAATGCCTAATCACACACAAACACTCACACACACGCGATCGCAAAACTACAACTAAAATAGCAATACATTAAGTTTAAGTTAATGAATAAACTTGGTTCTACACATAATGAAGGCAAAATGATTGCAATTTTAATTTTTATCAGCGGTAAGGGGTATCGGAATGAAAATAATCCTTTTCGACAGATTATTGGTTTTCCTTTGATTAAATTATTATTTTAATAGTTCAATAAAACGCGGCTGCTCTTCATTATAATTATAGTGGTTTTCTTCTTTATTTAACTTAATTTGTAAGGGCGGAAGTTAGGTTTTAAGCGTGCTTAAATAAATCTCTAAAAAAAATTGTTGAAAAAGTTAAACTAATTAAAATTTGCAAACAAGTACGAATAGAATAAAATACCAAGACAAGAGTTCGACGATTGAGACACAGAAATAACAGAATAAAATTTCAGTAAATATCTTACTAAATACATAAATGGACAGAAATTGACAAACAAAAAACAAGAACACACGGATAGGACATTTTAAAAAACACGTATAAATAAAAAGAACCCTAAACCTATGCTAGCTGGCACTACCATCTATGCTATGACTTATGATCCTATAGCTAAAATACTATTGAAGCGAGCATGTGTCTCGGTAAGAGCAGGTCGATATCATATTTGCTCAAACGAAATATATGATTTAAAATGTTCATAGACCAACGTCTCGAAAATTTGTTTGTAAATCGACCCACCCTTGTTTCTGGGGGTATGGATCACGGCCGTAGAAGGATTGGGATCTAAATCCGGCGATCTACCGCCGCTTGCGTCCTTTCTTGTAGCCCTTGCCATACCATCCTGCCTGGGTGCGCGCCAGTTTCCGGGGGAAACTCGTACTCAGCTGCTGTCTTCGCTTGGCCGTCTCCGCCGCCGCAATGTGTGCCAGGGATATATTCTCATCGTAGTCATCTTCGTCATCGGACGTGGGACAGCACTCGCAGACTACGAAACGACCGCTCCTAGCACGTTTCTTGTGTTTGCGCTGGCTGAGGTTCCAACGTCGATAGAACTGGCACTCCAGTTCGGCATACCGATCGAAGCAGAAGTCACAACTGGCAGCGGACCGGTTCATCGCAAAGTTCGGCACCACCTGGGAGTTCCAAATATTTAGATCCGCCGGCGGCGGTATCAAGATGCTGTGCAGGCCAGAGTAAGCATACTTGGCATCGTACCACGAGGGCAGTTGGCGCAGCAACTCCTCGTCGTTATTCTGCCTCAACAAATCCACCTGGGCCAGTTCGCTTTCCTCCTCCTCCTCCTCCTCTTCGTTCTCATTCTCTGTGGTGGAGTCGCCATCGCCATCGACATCGCTCTTTATCTGGATGTTGAGCGACTGATAGGCAGGTGGCAGCACCAATTTGGGCTCGACAAAGGGTGTTGACAATGGCGCTCCAATGGGCACCAGTGGCGGCAGCTGAAGTGGCTCTAATCTCACCTCAATTGGTTGCGTGGTCACGTTTTCCACATGAGTTTTTTGTATGGCGACTAGTTTGGGCAGCTCCAGGAAACCATTGTTCGCTGTTTCCTCCGTCTCTTCTTTGAGGGAAAGTGGCTCGAGCTTGGGCAGCAGCTCCAGAAGATTCAGCTCTTGCTTTAATATGGTGTCCTGGCTTTCTATTTCCTCCAGTTTCACTTCAGTCTCTATTTTAATGAACGACTCCTTTAGCTTTGGGCTGGAGTCAACCTCCGTTTTAACCTCTCCATTGGTATCCACTTGTTCCACCTTTATCTCCTCATCCTGGCCATTTATGAGCTTAAATTTCTGGCGTAGCTCCAGGTTTGTCTTAACTCTTCGTCCATTTTTGATAGGTGTGCGGATCCGTGGACCCTTTCCGATCGGGAGGTCGCTGTAGTTATAACTACAGCTCTCGCTAGAGATGGTAGAGTCCTGCGTTTCCTCGGTGGTGGTGGTGAAGGCCTCCTCCTCGTCGGCATTCTTAAGCAAAGGTTGGGTGAGCGTGTGCAGTTCCTCGGGCATTAGGAGCGAAGCATGTGCGAATATGGGATCCTTTTCTTTCGTGTACACGGGAACTGGAATGTGGAGTAGGTGCATCAATTGGGCCATCACCCGATCGCATTTCCCGTTGATCTTAATGCTGGCTATCCCATCCTTGGGCGTCCACTGCAGGTTTACCACACAGATCTTGGCCCGCTGGCGGGCAGGCCGGTCCATCTGCCACAGCCAAGTGTATTTCTTGAGGACCTTGAGACTGGAGCCCAGGCAGAGGATCACATCCGCGCGCTCCGCATGCGCTGTGGCTCCCGCCCAATTCAGCGGCCACTTGACGTTCCCTCGCTCCCCGAAGTGCACAATAGTGTCGTAGAGAGGCTCCGAGCAGCGATGGCATAGACGGTGGGTTTTGTGGCAGTAGCGGGCGGTCATCTCCGTGGTATCAAACTGGCGCCAGTAGACGCTGTTTGGTCGGCAGTTCTTGCACACCTCCACATACATGTTTCCATGGATTTCGGACAGCGAATGCCTCGGTAACCCGGATCGCAGGTGCAGGCCATCGCAGTTCTGGGATACCACATGATGCAACAGTCTCCTCCGATGCATTTCGTACAGGGCCATGTGCGTGTAGGTTGGATTCGCGCTGGACAGATCATGCTCCCCGATCTCCTGGCCCTTTTGTAGCAAAGTCCAGATGCCCTGGCTGCCGCGGTAGTCCGGAATCAAAGCCGCCGTGCTTATCCCCGCTCCAGTATAGCAAACCAGGTGCTTGGCCTGCGAAATAATGTTGGCCAACTGCTCCACCTTCGCCTCGATCACATGCGGTGCATCCTCGCGTTCCACCACTCGCTCCTTGTAAATCTCCACGCGCTCCTTGCGCTTCTTGGTGGCCTTCACAATGTCCGGGTGCTTGTCCAGGAACTGCCTGTCCTCCGTGGAGCGCAGCGAGTCGCACTTCCGCAATATCATCGAGACCTAAAAGGGTATTTTGATTGATTAGCATAAGCAGATAAAGGTGGAATGGCTTCCAATACACTTGCAATAGGGATTTGAAGAGTTTTCTTTGGCTTTAAAATGGATTTAAAACTAATTTGAAGAATATCTTGTGAAAGATGTACATTTTGTACCTTTGAACTATGCTATAACATCATGATAGTTATTAGTCTTTATTTTATGTTATTAAAAGTATTTAATATTTTTTAGGTGAGTAACTCTAAGCCACTAATAGACAACCATTCATTGGATCCCATGGATAGTGGTCAAAATTGAAACTTTCTTTGCAAGGGTATAAGCACACGCACACACACACAGGCGCACTAATTACCCTTCGCATGGCATCCTTGCGTCGCCGCTTCTCGTTATCCTTCTTGGCAGGATTCATCTTGGCCCGCGTTATATAAGACTGCGCCACGTCCGCCTCTTGCTTGGGCTCCATCTCCATGTGCTGCTCCTGCTCCTCCTCCTTGTCCTGTTCCTGCTCCATGATCCGGCACAATTACAATTGGCAAATCAAAGTGCGCCGCGGCCAGGAAACTGGGAAAGTGCGATGTGGTATCCTGCGCAGGATATCCGCTTACATTTTATTCGCCATTTAGTCGCGGACCCCTGGCCATTGGTAATTGACAATTTGCAATCAGACTCCGGAATCCAGCGAGTTTTGTTTTATTCTAAAAATGTTTCTTTTTTTAGGGAAAAAAAGGTAAACAACTATCGATGAATGCACCGATAGCTTTAAGCTATCGATGTGCCAGGGATGCACCACTCAGGTATTCTAAAATCATCGTACCGTTAAAAAACTTTTAAGAAATACATGCATTTTAAATATTAAGTTTTGAATGTTAATAATTTTATATATTTTTCAGGTACATTAAATTGAACGATGTTACTTTGGTTAGGACTATTTTTTAAAACAATTCCAAATTGAAAAAAATGCGTATATTTAGACAAATTAGTTATGAAATTGCACAAATGTAAAGCTTGTTAAAGTTTTTAATATTTTGCCATTGCTTGGGTTATCCAGTTTAGATAAGGATACACGCGGGTATATATCCCAGGAACACCTGGTGATCCGCAAGATAATCCAACCGAGGTAATTGCTACAACATGATACATGCAAGGATATTCTTGATGATACATTAACAAAGGACCACCCGAGTCGCCGTAACAAGTATCCCGGGCCAACTCGGATCCCACACATAGTTGGTTGTTGACATCGAAACCTTGCGGGAATTCCTCCCTTTGGCGGGTAAGAAGTTTTTTGCACACCTATATAGGGGAATTTAAAACATTATCTAGTAATTTTTGCAATCCCCTTTTTTCAACATAATTTATGGTACGTACCTGATCTCCATAGCGGTCCAGCTTTACTTTTAGCAGCTCGGACGAAGGCTTATCTGCCACCCCTGTGCTTCCCCAGCCAACGGCTATAAAGGAGTTGGAAAAGCGTTCATCTTGAAACGGCAGACAGGCAGGATGCTTATAAAGATCAAAAATCACATCCTCCATCAGTTTTATTATTCCAATATCATGGTAAAGCTCCGGATCTTTGTATCCCGGATGGGCTAAGTACCCAGAAACACCATAGTCCTTGGGAGCCGCATCGTCTTCGCTTGTATCAAAATTCAGTTCGCCCAATCGCACAATATTTACTTCTCCTCTGAAAGGGAGAGATTAGTATAGTAATTTTTAAAAATACTAAAGCATTTAAAAGGTGCTCTGAAAATTTGAATGAAAAAAATGTGTAGTGTTTTATAAAAAGCGATACTTTGCTTTAATGAGGTACTCATTATAAACATTTAATTATAATTATAATTATTGGGAAAATTTAAACTACCTCTTGGTAAACCCCAACTTACCTTTCAGATTCTAAACAGTGGGCTGCGGTTAAGACGAACCGCTCGCTGATCAGAGCACCACCGCAAAACCAGTCAACACGGCTACCCTGAACTTGACGACGCCCCAATCGAGCCATGTGCGGGAATTCCCGTGGCTGAGCGGGCTGACCGCCCACAATCAAGGGCATGTAACTCCTGCAGTTATCGAAAACCTGGCTCTCAACCTCAGCCCCTGGAAACAGATACCCGAAGTAGATGGTCTCCTCGAAAACGCTTTTCTTATATCTCGTGCAAGCTGAAGGGTTGTATATCAAATATTAGTATTACAAATAAAACTCTGTTATGTCACAAATATTTTGCTATCTAACTTTACTTACTCCTGACTATATCTACATCCGGATTCTGACCAAAAACACATGCCATCGGAATGATCAGTAGGGAGAACAGTGGAGGTGGCGACCACATCTTCAGCTTTGAGTGACGATCGGTGATCGACTGTGAATGCGAACGGGTTTAACTCCCAATTAGACCCCGAATGATCAGCTGTGGACCCCCCATTGGAGGCGGGTCTCAGCGGGTAAAAGCTAATAGAAATCCCCGCTTTTCAAGCGATTAGCCCACTATAAAACAGATTTGTTTACACGCTCTTATAAGTGGACATGCAAATTAAGTTAAAATAATCTTGGTCGTGTATTTAACCGGGAAATGATTATATTAGGAATAATTTTGGATTTTTTATAAATGCTAATCGGTTATATTACTGTTTATATTTCTAAATCTCTTATTAAAGAGATTTTTAAGGTGTTTTTAAAAAATTATAATGAAACAAAAGTAAAAGTTTTATGTTTTATCAGATAGCAGTAGCGCGTTTTATTATAAGGCTCTTTCTAAACAATTATAGTACACTTATGTTTTTGAAAAGTTTTCAATGAAAACTATTTACTCATAATAAAGTTTTTGAAATTTAAAAAACTTTTCAGAATATGATATTTTTTATAGTAATTTGATTTACTAGTTCTTGGCGAGCTGCTGTTTAATCCAGTCGAGGTAAAAGTGGACCCTTGTGTACATGGCGGGAAGATCGGGTGTGTCGCAGGCCACTCCTACGGATGTTATGCCCATCACGTGATACATGCAGGGGTAATCCTTGTGATAGATGAGCACCGGTCCGCCGGAGTCGCCGTTGCAGGTGTCCTTGTGTTCGTTGGATCCGATGCAGAGTTGGGTGGTGGCGTTGTATCCCTCGGGCAACTCATCATTCTTGTCCGCCGTGAATCTGCATCGAGTGTTGTAGTTGTAGAGTTTCACCTTCTGGAGCTTCTTGTTTTCGGTTCTTGGAACGATCTCCAATTGACCCCAGCCGATGGCGATAAAGGAGGGGACCGATCTTCCGTCGTCGAAGGGAAGACACGCAGGATGTTTGTACTCATTGAAGGTTACGGTCTTGCTCAATCGCACCACAGCTATGTCGTTGTAAATCGCAGGATGGTTATAGCCGGGATGTAAGGTGAAGTCCTTTACGGTAAAGTCCTCCGGATCGGCATCGTCAGTGCTTGTGTCGAATTCCAGATCCCCAAGGCGAACTATATTCACTGAACCTCTGAAAAGGGTTCCATACTATTTTAACTATAATATTCAAACATTTTAAGTTAAATTTAGGTAATATAGGTACTACATACATTCCTAAAACTAATTTTATGTGGGAATTTTCTTGTAATTTTGTAGGCTCTAAGTTCTTTTGTTATTCTATAATAAGAAAATCATTTTCTTTCTGATCTCACTTAGTGATTAGGAGAATACCTACTGCGGCGAGTAGAGGCAATGCGCTGCGGTGAGCACATGCAGGTTGCTGATAAGTGTTCCTCCACAAAACCACTCAATCTCGCCATCATCTTCGCGATGTCCCAGGCGCGCTGCGTGCGGGAACTCCTTGGGCAAGGCGGGTCCTCCTCCGATTATGAGGGGTGCATAGCTTGTGCATTTGTCCAAGGTCTTGTAGATAATCGGAGCATTCTCAATCAAGAAGCTGAACTCTGAAGTCTCCTCCCAAACGCTCTTCTTGTAGGAAGCGCAAGCTGCAGAGCATCAAAAATGTAATACAGATCTTTAATATAATGATGCACTCACTTTTTACTATATCCGGATCTTGAGAAGTCACAAAGTTGACTAGTAGAACCAGCAAAGCTGCCACCAGCTGGACAATCTTGCCAGAGAACGCACTTCTCATCGTGCTGCTGCTTCTACGGTAAGCGAGTAACTAAGATCATTATTAATAGCCATACAGCTTCTCTTAGTTAATCGGGGTGCAATCTCCTCAGGAGAGCCAATAAATACAGGGAAAAGCCGCGTTTTTGTTGATAAGAAATTATATACTGATACTTGCTCACGGCTTACGCAAACAGGAATTCAATACACATCAAAGCCAGTTCGAAGGCGTATAATATTGAAACAGTTCTTGGCTTGAGGGTTACAAAAATATTGAATGAAACATGCAGCAATCAGTTTCAATCATAATGAAGTTGATCCATTGTCACGACTTTCAGGCAAGTGAAAAATTCTATGGAAATGAAAACCTGAAAAGCTTATTTAAATATTTAAACCCAACCGGTTCGCTGAATAAACCGCAATGCATGCAAATTTTTATAGCCCGGTGGATTTACAATTTTGATGTATATTTGTGGCTTCTCAGAGAACTCAGATTAAGACATTATTTTAGGCATTCAAATGAATATAATGTCGCATTATGTCTGGTTGGCCAGTTCGCGCTTAATCCAGTCGAGGAAGTAGTGCACCCTTGTGTAGGCACTGGGAAGATCGGGCGTGGAACAGGCAATGCTGAACGAGGTGATGCCCATCACGTGATGCATGCAGGGTAGAGTCCCGTGGTAGGCCAGCACAGGACCTCCCGAGTCGCCATTGCAGGTGTCCTTGTTGTCCTTCGATCCGATGCACAGCTGACTCCTGGCCTCATAGCCTTGGGGCAGTTCATCATTTGGCTCCACACTGGTAACACACTTATTGCCATAGCCCTGGAGCTGGACCTTCAGCAGCTTCTTGGACTGTTTCTGGGCAAACTTCCTTTGACCCCAACCGATGGCGATGAAGCTCTCGTGTTGCTCGCCGTCGTCAAAGGGCAAGCAGGCAGGATGTTTGTATCGATTAAACTTGACTTCCCGATCCAGTTTAACAACGGCAATATCGTTGTAGAGCTTAGGGTTCTCGAAAAACGGATGTGGCCTAAGAGCCAGCACGCCAAAGTCCTCCGGCTGTGCATCATCCTGGTCATTATCGAACTCCAGCTCGCCCAAACGCACAACGTTGACTTCACCACTGGGGACATACAGAAATCTATTAGTTACCAATAATATGATATGAACATAAAACCAACATACTTTTCAGAAAAAAAGCAGTGAGCTGCTGTAAGCACTAGACGATTGCTTATCAAGGTTCCGCCACAGAACCATTTTGTTTCGTTGTTAGCATCCCTATTCCCCAGGCGAGCTGCATGGGGGAATTCCTTGGGCTCCGCCGGTGTGCCATCTACAATAAGGGGTCTTGAGCCGTGGCAACTGTCAACTGTCGAGTAGGTAATCGGGGCATCCTCCAAGAAGTAGCTAATGGCCACGCGTTTCTCGAAGACAATCTGTTTAAATTTATTGCAAGCTAAAGAGAATACATATTCTAATAAGTTCTTCTAAGGGTTCTCAGTAACAACTCTTACCAAGCTGTACAGCTGCATCTGGATTTTGGGTATAAACAAGGCTGCAGCTCAGGGAAAACATCAGCAGCAAAATCGTTCCAAGTGATTGCATTGCCATCTTATTGATTCGTTCTCCAACAGCAGTGGCACACAAACGGCAGCCGACTGATTAAATCAAAGTTAATCAGCTAGTTTTCAAGTGCGCACTTTAGAGAAGCCGCTCTCCGGACTTAAATACCGATCAGCTGGTTTTATTCCATATACAGTAGATAACAATGTGGAAAATCTGATATTATTTAGCCGAAAATACAATTGTTCAAAGTTAATTCTTATAATATGGTTCAAGTAAATAGTAATAAAATATTTCATGACGATCAAACAAATGTTTTTAAGACGGATTTAAAGTATACATTTAATATTAACATACTTAGATCTTGGCTGACATCGTTAATGTATATTTACTGTACCAGAAAGGAACCAGTTTGGTTATAAACAAACTGAGAGTTAACCATACTTCCTGGGTTTAACATTTATATTAATGTTGGTAAAATTGTACAAAGTTTAACGATCTAGAGAGTAAATATAACTAATTGAAGTGAATGCCCGCTGAATTAAAAGCCAGCAAGAGCTTCATAAAGTCGTCGATGTCCATGGTTCTCGCGCGCTTGGTGGCCATATCCTGCGCCTCCAAGATGCCTATGACTTTATCTTGCATGTTGAAGTTCTCTTCGATGGGCTAATGGAAGGTAAATCGTTTTGTTTGAGGAGAAAATTAAGTATAGATAGTATAAGCTAGTCCTTACCTCATTCCTGAGTGAGCGATACACCCTGTAGTTCTTCTCTAGCATCTCCATCACGGAGGTGACCTTAAAGGTGGCTGCCAGCGTCTTGTTCTTGCGCAGGAAGGCGATTCTCGTAAGGCCATCCCATTCGGTGAAGTTGACCGGTGGCGGTGGGTTCTTCGGCTCCAGCCTGACCACACTGCTCTCAACCTTTGGTGGCGGTCTGAAGTTGTTTTTGCCCACCTTCATGAGCATGTCCACGCGGGCCAGCAGCTGGGTATTGATGCTCAGGCGGCAGTAGAGCTTCTCGCCCGGCTTAGCCACCAATCGCTGGGCGAATTCGCGTTGGAACATGAGAACGGCGCACCGGAAGAGTGGCCGGTGAAGGAGGAGCTTGAAGATCAGAGGCGAACTGATCTGGTACGGCACGTTGGCAATGCACAGATCGAAGAAGGGCAGCTCCGCCTTGAGGAAGTCGCCAATGAGCACTTGCAGCTTGGGCTGCAGCGGAGTGGCCTGGACACGCTTCTGCAATTCGGCAGCCAAACGAGTGTCAATCTCGCAGGCAATCACCTTCTTCGCACGCTCCAGCATCCGAACGGTCATGTTTCCCGTACCGGGACCAATTTCCAGCACCACATCGGTGGCCCTGAGGGCAGCCTTTTCCAGCATGGTGGTGATCACAAGGGGGTTCTTCAGAATGTGCTGGCCAAAGTCCTTGTTGAAGACGATTCCTGCAAAGGTAGATATAATAAGCTTACCGGTTTGTAAGGAACACCTAAAAGTTTGGCGAACTGTGAAAGTTGTAGACTTTTTTCTTACCCTGCTTCTGAACCTCGTTGTGAACGCGGCTCTTCTTTTCCGTTTTGACCTTCGGCATCTTGGCTAGCACTTGTTTTTCGCCTTTAATTAATAAAATAAATTCAACAAATATTTATTTGTTTTGGCTCTGCTTCTTCTTCTTCAGGTGTCAACATGTGCGCTGTTAGTTAACAGCCGATAACTCAGCGATAACTTTTAATAACAGAAATGTTAACCGCTAGTAGCCTGTCCAACCGTTAATTCAAATTTGATAAGTTTAACTAATGAATAAAAATTATAATTCCAAGAACAACTTTAATTAATAGAATATTTAATTTTTCTTAACAAATGGTTAATATCCATATAGCAAATAATCAGATTATCTGCCTGCTCTTAACATTTCACCTTCATTACCGCCAACATTCCCGTTTCGCAGATGGCAATGCCGTAATTTTCAAATTCAAACACATCAGTTACATTTTTCATAGGTGTTACCTCTTTATTTATTAATTAGTTTTCACTTAATGTTATAAATCAATTTTTCTTGTTTTCAATTTTGCTTTCTTTGGTTATCTTTGCACACATCTTCTGCTCATACCATTTATTTAGTAGCTTCTTTAACATTCAATTACGCTCACTTGCCTGCCTTGGTAATCTTTTCTTTTTTTCTTTTTGTATTTTTTTTTCATTTTATTTAATAGCTTTTTTACAACATATCAACTGTTGACTTTCGACTTTACCGTTACAGTTATTTATCTCTTGTTTAAACATAACTTAAACTTTATTTTTGCCGTTTTTTCTCAGTTTTAGTTGGTTTTTCATCTGCTTTGTGTGTGTGTGTGCTCATTGTGTTTTGTGTGAGTGTTTTTTTCTGAATACTTTCTGTGTTTATGAATATTATTACTTTTGCAATGATTCCGTCACATTCTAACCACCATATTACTCTTTTTGTTGCGCTTTAGTTTTGTACGCCGTTCCATAAATAATTCAGTATATTTTCTTAGTAGTTTGTGTGTAGTTTTTGCCTTAGATCAGTTAACAATTTTTTCGGGGGCTTCCGTTAATAATCCATTTAAGTATCTAAGATGCGAAAGGTACATGAAAAAGTTGCACATATGTAAGTGGGTGTGTGTTTGTTTTGCTTGAGCTGCGCGGCTCCAGAAAAAGTTTGCTAAGCTGATCGAGTGAGTACATTCAGAGTTTAGTTCAAGAACCCTTGGTTTTTTTTTTGTTTGGTTTTGGTTTTTGGCAAGCCATGATATATATTTACTATAAGTTTTTCGGGGTTTTAGTAAGTAGTAGATGGAGACAACAGCGGGCGCGGGGTAGCGTTCAGCTTTGCGTATTTTTGGTGAGAGCTTAGAGCTAACATTTTTGGTTGCACATTTTCCTATAACTTGTAAGTTTGTTCTCAGGTTACGGTCACGCGATTTGTTCTATAATCCCTTTTCTGTTTCTCTCCTATTATATTTACCCTTTTTTTCTGTTCAACCATTGGCCAATTTAGCCATTTTCTCGACCTATTCCCGATCCGTATCAAGGATCTATATCTATGTTCATATGAGTTCATCTTGTTGGCTGGAGTTTTTACTTTATTTTGCTTGTTCTTATACGTTTTTTTTTATTTAGTTTTAATTGAATACGCGCCTCTATCCTTGCAAAGGCCTTTGAGCGCATTGCTTAAAAAATTATTCATAGCTTTTAACATTTTGCCTATACTCCTCCTCGAATTCATCGTATTTTTTGTTACTCTTGCTTTTTATTTGTTTGTTTCTTTTTTTGGTAAAATGCGTTCTTGAAAATACTTTGGGTTAACATTTAAATTGTAAATGGGTAACTAGCTGGGCTCGCTATTTCACAAATATTATTAGACACTGGGCGTTTATTATTACATACAAATGTGTGTTTATGCCTGCCTTTGCCTTACGATTTTTAGTTAACAACGCTGCTTATAGTTAATAAATCATCTGTTATCCATCCTTTGCTATTCTTTCACTTTATAGTTATTATTATTATTATATATTCATTCAAGATTTAATTTAGCATAGTTCCGCTTGCTGTGTTAGACTGAAAACGAAACAGAAATAGGGTTTTGCTATGGAGTAAATAATAATAGTATTAATCAAATTTATGCTACAATTTGAATGCAGTTAGTTTCGAATAGAACTTAGCTTTTGAGTCTTTGGCTTTAAAATCAACACATACACGTTAATATTGTTTTGTCTCCTAACTTCCACTTCATTTGCTTACAGACTAAACACGTTTGGTTTCTTGTATTCATAATTTGTTTAGCATAAATTAATATGAATTTTATAGACATTCTCTTTGTGGGTTTTTAGCTTTATCTCTATGATTAGTTAGCTTTACTTTCTCTTTGTTGGTAAATTGTATGCGTTTGTATTAGGGGTTTTTTGGCTTCATTTTGTTTTTTGTTTTTTTTTTCTTTTCACTTTTATAAATATTTATGTATAACAATAAGGTAATTTTAAAATAATATCGCTTTAATACTTGAGAAGGAAGTTGTGCAAGATTTCGAATACATAAAACAAATTGAAATTAGATTTATGTGGTCGTTTTTATGTATTGTGTGTTTGTTTTCTTTTTTTTTGTTGTGTGTAGTACAGACGGCACATTGCGGCTATTGTGTTAGAAATTCCCTTGAGATTCGCTTGGAGCAAGTGCCTCGCCTCCCATAAATAGAGCTCTGCTTGGATGCTGTCGGTCTGTGAGTGCGAAACTTGAGATTCGGCACGTCAAACAATCAATAAATAACTAATAACAAAATGCACTCAGCCACTGGGCATTGACTAGATGGGGTGGGGGTTCCATTTTCTTCTTTTCTACATTTTTTGTGTTGGTTTTTGGGCTTGGCAAACAACATAAATAAATTCCAACAGGTGTGGAGCTTAAAGCGGTTAAGGTTTTTCGGGGCGTTTGGGGTTGGGGGATGACAAGATCTGAAGAATTCGCGTCCTTGTGCGCCTTTAATTCAAGTTGAAGCTTAGCAGTTTCGGCAATTGGCACTGGTAGTTTGGATGTTCTGGATGAGTGATCAACACACACGGGACCTTTAACGAAACTAGGACCACGACTACGGGGCGGAAAACAGACAACAATGGGGAGATACGAGGGGGGCGTTACTATAAATGAAAATATTAGACTGCTTGTGCTAGGGGTTGCGCTACACGCTGGATGACAGCTCGGCTCGATGGCGATCCGGTTGACCAGTAACGCCGCCGACCAGGGTTTGCCCCAATCTCTGCGGGGCTCCAGATCGCATCGCGACCAATCAAACTGGTAGGTGAACATGAACTAGGATCGTTGGTCCTTAGTAGACTTTGCGTTCCGGCCCGAATTTGGGATTCACAAACGAGAAGCCGGCGAATTCGTCCTGATTGATGCAGCGCACCACGTCGTTTCCAATAGGTGTGAGTACGGGATCCTCCTTGGTGAACTCCGCATCGAAGTTGTTGGCATCGCGTGGATTTTTCTGTGTATTATTTACAATTAAAAAGTTTTTATGGTATAATCATATTATCTCACCATTTTCGGTCGGAATGGTGGCTTTATGTTGCGCTTCTCCAGCTCCTTCCAGTCCAGCTTGCTGAAAAATGGATGCTTGCGTATCTCGTTCTCATCGCCAGTGCAACCCATCGCTGTTCCGGATTCTTGGTGAGAAAACCTGGGAAAAGGTAACAAAAAAGGGTTATAAATCTAAGGACTGATTAAGCTAGATCATCTCACCCTTTAGTATGGAGACGGCCTCGCGGGACAGCCAAACCGGATAGAGGACATCGTCGTGCATGATGGAGTCGAAGAGCTCGTCCTCGTTGTCCGCCTCGAACGGCGGCTGGCCGGCCATCATCTCGTACATGAGGACGCCCAGCGCCCACCAGTCGACGGAGGCTCCATACTCCTGCTCCTTGAGGATCTCTGGGGCAATGTAGTCGGGGGTGCCGCAAAGGTGGTGGTCAGCATGCCGTTCATGATGCCCTCCTTGCACATCCCAAATCGGCCAGCTTGCAATGACCCTCCTGGTCGAGCAGGATGTTGTCCAGCTTCAGGTCGCGGTAGATGACGCCGTGGGTGTGGAGGAACTGCAGCGCCAATGTCACCTCCGCCGCATAGAAGGCGGCACGTGAGGCTCGAAACGACGCGCCTTCTGTATCTGGAACATTAGATCGCCGCCATTCACATACTCCATCACGAAGAACAGGCGGTCCGGGGTCTGGAAACAGGAATGTAACGCAGTCAGGAAGGGATGGTTGGCGGCCAGCGCCAGGATGCGCTTCTCGGTCATGGTGCAATCGACGTCGTCGTCCTGAATGATCGCATCCTTCTTGAGCACCTTGATGGCATAGATCTCGTCGGTGCCCTTCTTCTCGGCCAGCATCACCTTGCCAAAGGAGCCCTTGCCCAGCACCTTGATGAAATTGAAGTCCAGCAAGGAGCACTTGCCGGGACGAGTCTCTCCTGTGGCGCCAGAACCACCTCCAGATCCTCCCACCGCCAGGCTCATACAGCTGCTGCTATTATAACCACTGGTCAGCGTCGTCGTCGAGTTGGCCAAACTGTCCGCCGATAGGGCACCACTGCGGAATGACTGTCCCGGAGCACCGTCACCATCGCCGCCCAGGGATGCCCCATAGTTATCCTCGCCGCCCTGCTGATTCAAGTACTTGGAGCGACGCGGCTGCTGCTTATCCGGCGAAATGCCCAGCGAACTGAGAATCTCGGCCATCTGCTTGGTGTTGATGCCACACGTATTGGCCACATTCTTCTGGCACCGCTTGTGCACATTCATCCCGCAGGTCTCGCATTGCAATCCCTGCTTGATCAATCCATATAGCAGGGAACCGCAGTGGTCGCAAAAGGTGAAGCGCTTGTAGCTGTGCACCACAAACCGATGGGGCACATTCACATTGAATCTCTGGCCCGCCGGCACCACCTCCACTTTGGTTTGCTGGGGAGATAACTTAAAGAATTTACTTCTCCAGTTCTGGTGGGGATATTTCAGTGGATCTTACCTCATCTCGCATGCCCGGACACTTGGACACCACGGACTGGTGACATTTTTTATGTACAACTAACGTGCAGACTAGAAGTGTTTTTTTTTTTTGGGGAGAGAAACCAGAGGCAAATAATTAATATCCAATCTTGGCATTTGACGCTTCGAGAATTCTTCGATGGCAGAGTGCAGGGAAATTATCCAAAACTCTATGAAAACTATATAAAGAAGATCGCCCTGATATAACTAACTAATTTTTCCTTTTCTCTTAATATTAATATATTACAATTGCATACTTATTCCAAACTTCGCCATTATTGTATTTTTGGATGTCTTCTGTAGGCATTATTGGTTTAGAAACACCAAAAAATCTAAAACAAAGAAAAGAATTCTGTTGAAGCTTATTGGTCATTTAATAATTTTAAATATAAATCCAATCCAATAAAGATTAAACATCAATTTTTTTTCATCAGATGGATTTTTGTAATGATATCAATAATTTTTCAAAGGGCGATCTTCCTTTAATCTTAGACTCTAGACATTCGAATGTGTATATATACAGGATTTCGTTTGAATTAAGCTCGTTGAAACATTCAGGGTTAACACAAAGTCCCCAATCGTGGCATTCAGTTGAGATTTCAAAAAAATGGCTATTAATCCTTTTCGAATATCACGACTGAGGGCACAGATAATTAGTTAAAAACCTTCGACTGTTTCTTGTTGTGCAGTGTGATTATTCACATGTTGGTCAGTGGAGTTAAGTTGTACTTGGTCTGTGTCTGTGCTCTAATTAGTGTTTCGGTTTTAATCACAACATTTAAATGATTCGTGCCAGATATTGGAACCAAAACTACTTAGAAAAGAGAGAAATGACGAAAGGAGCCATATAAGCAGTTTTTTTATGACAACAATGAATAAAGTAAAGGAAACGAAATCCTATAGTATTTCTTATATAATATCTTGTTACGAACATTTGTTTTTGATTCTTGAATTTGAAAAGATTCTCAAAAAGAGAAATAATCATGCATGTCTTAACAATTCTAAAGATGATATTGCTTTATATGAACCAATGATGATCCCAATTCTAACCTGATTTTAAGGTTAGAGACATTGTTATATTTTCTATTTTAAAATGCGTATCTCGACTGTTTTTTTTTTTTTTTTTTATTTTAAAATGCGTATCTCGACTGTTTTCCTGTCTTAAATTTTTAACTCAAGATCCTAGAAGATCCTATCTAAAGCATGCATGACAATATAGGGTTGAGAAAAAGTATCTATAAATGGAACTAAATGTGGATGTAATGAACTTTTCTGTTACAATAAAAGATATAGAATAGACTAAACCTATAAAGAATTTCTGGTAATCAATTTCGAATTTGAATCAGATTAGTAATACAAGACTTGCATTCCCTTCATACGTGATTTTTGAATGCAATGTGATGGGAACGAGGACGGGACACTCATCCAGATCGATTAATGGTGCAATGGGAAAGGACCTGTGCTAGGATACCGGGGCTATTCCTAGGCAATCGTGACTCAGCAAGGTGATCGATGCATTGGACAATGCTGAAGGCTGGACAATAATATTTCAGAGTTTGATATATAGAAAAAAAAACAAACATATCTTTGATCTCAAAATGCAGCCAAAGAAACCCAAGGGCAACAACATCAACAACGACAACAGCAAACAACGAATAACGAACAACGAACAACGAACAACGTACAACGAACGTAACAAGCAAATGCAAAGTGATATGGATTGGATATAGCTTGTAGGGGGCTCTTCCTGGAGCTCCGAAGCGCCAGAGCTGAGCTGCTCTGGTTTTTAATTCCGTTTAGTCTGAAGCAAAACACATACCTTGACATTGATAGCCTTGTTTACCAATTCCCCTGCAAAAAGGCAAGAAATTCCATGGCTATTGTATGTATATATATTTTTTTTGGTAACTGAATGATTGGTAGTGTTGTGTTTTTGTGTTTAATTTGTGGTGTGCGTGCGAGTGTGTGTTTATTTTTTTTTTAATGGATGAGAATCGCCGATGGTAGCCCCATATAAGAAAAATCAAGCATGATCTGATAGTGAACCCAAGATGATCCCTCAGCAGCGACCCAAGCCAGCTATTGCCCATTAGAGAAACCAGGTTAATGCCAATGGATGTGTGGAGAACCAAGGAAATTAAAACTGCATAATATAGTGAGCCACCCCAAAAAATAGCCAGAGATATGAGCCAGTAGAGCGAGATGATGAGGATGTGATGAGTGATAGAGTGATGGATACATTAAGAACATAGAGATAAGGAGAGTAGATCAACCCAAGTCGAATCGAATCAAATCAAAAGTAGTTCAGATGGTGAGAGGTGTGTGTAAATCAAGTCCCGAAACTAAATGCATGTTCAGATTAATCACTGCAGATACAACTTAGGGATGTACGGAGATGTTTCAGCCCTGCTGTGAGTACGTTACGAGAGTTGTACGATTATGTGTGCTGGGCTCCACTTACCAGATAAACTCGCGGCAATGCGAACAGAAGGTGGGTTGACGCAAAAACGTTGCCATGAACTTGTGACCATTCACCTGGGTGGTAGAAATGGGAGAATGTTAGAAAAATGACAGGATAATTTGGAATAAAACCTCTTGAGGTCAAGAAAATACTTGGTAAAGCCTTGAAGCATAAAACGACCAAGTGTAAAGCCTTTCATAGTATTTAAGGAATTTTCTTGACTTCATAAGGTGGAATCCTTGGGATGGATAAATGAAAACTGACCTGATGGACACGACGACGCATGGCACCGCGACGGCGGTTGAATCCAGCACGCTCTTTGAACTCCTTGTTGACGGCTACAGTGTGCTCCACAACAGCCTCGGCTTTGGCTTTATCTAATATCATCATAAATAATAATTAAATCAGTAACATTTCCACATAATCAGTAAATCTATACGTACCAGTGCGATTCTTCAGCTCAATAATGACGTGTATCTTTCCCTGGGGCTCCAAGTTAACCTAAAGGTAGAAATTATGATTATAGAGGAAATTTAGAAGGTATAGTATAAAACCTACCCATAGATCTTGAACAGCCGTCTCGCTCTGCATGAGGTCCTCGAAGGAGATGATGCAGTTGGCCACAAAGTCATCGGCGGCAGAGCGGCATCATGAAAGACGGTCAAGTTGATGTTGCTAACATTGGACACATCGTGGACGAACTGCTCGTTCCAAACCGGATCGAATGTCTTTGGCCGTGTGGTGGCTCGATCTGAAGATTTAAATTTATTATTATTATGATCTATAAAAACAGGACTTAAGTATATTTTCAACTTCTCTGATTTCGTTATTGGGAGTTTACTTTCATGTTCATATATGAAGATTTTTTGATTTATAAAAACTATTATATTTTTGATATCCGCTTAAACGTTTAAACACCCTTTTAAGTATGCAACATCTTTTAAAACAAAGTAGTTACTAAGGTACCCCCAATAAGTATTTATATCATAAGTAGAACACTCACCAAAGTGACTCTCGTCCACATCTATGGAGACATAGGGATCGATGAGCTGCTCGTCGGCCAGTTTGCCGAAGGTGAGATTGTGGCGCTTCTGGAAGTCTGTGGGCCGCAGGCCGCTCGCCTCGCACACCTTGATCTGCAGCTTGCCCGTGAACATGGTGGTAGAATCGATTCCGTCCTCCGTGAGCCTACTCCTGCTGCTGCTGTTCTAGATCCCAATTCAGTTCCTAATGCTGTTCCTGATCACAATCCTGCCGCTCCTCGGTCCTCTGTGCGATGTCCTTGCGTGTCTGTGTGGGGAGCAGCGGTGGATCACACGGCTGTGCTTTCGGTGGTGTGCGACTGGCTGGTGATCCTGATCTGAAATGGGGAATGGAATTTGAGAATTTAAGATCGGTTAATGAAATGCCCGAGTGGCACTCGCAACTTTCGCTGTGGGCCAATGTTAGCGTAGGTCATTGACACTCATGAATGGCGTATGCGGTACACTCGATTCACTCTCAAGGTCGCCTGCGCCCCGCATCGATGGAATTTATGCACATAGATACAACCACACCAGCGGTCAGAATAATAGTTCAGGACTGTGAGCAGAACCTATCAGAAATCTTTCACAATATTCATTCAACTAAAATTTGTATATCTAAAGCTTGACATCACATTTTTGATAATACCCAAATAAGGATGTCCAACAATCAATGAATGTTTTTATTGTACTAACAATATTGTGGTTGACTAATGAAGGGTTAAGCTTAAAAATTCTTCTCTTCAGATAAGGAAATGTTTATTTTTATTTTGTTTACGGTCTTTGGACACTTTTAGATGCTCATTTCATTTATGTACACTACTTTTTTGTCCGCCACTGTGTTGTGTACACTTGTGTGTGTACATTAGGCAATCGCTCAAAAGACAACAGTCCGTGAAACAAAAAATCGAAAATAGTACGCGACCATCATCTGCTATGGTAATATTTCTGGCAAATAAATCATTCCAAGGAGTGTAAGAGTGCAACTTTGTAAATTTCTCAATTCCACAGATCGTTGTACACAATTCAATTGGCCCCCAATTGGGATACAAAGCCTTTTTCTAATTGGCAAATTTGGTGGGAACAAGTTGTTCTTGTCCCCCCCCCCCCCTTTTTTTCTCTTTTTCCACACATTCTTAAGTACTTTCAGTGTCGTTTTGCTTTGATTACATATATGTAATGCCTTTGCTTGCTCACTTTTTTATGCAAATTCTTTGTGTGCATGTATAGCACATACACACTTTCACACACATATACACGCGCAGTCAGCTTTTTTCCACAGATAAAACAACAAAGAAAGAATAACAAGCAATTCTAATGCTGCCTCTCGCTCGCACCTCAACTACCCACAAATACACGCGCGAATCACGCCCACTCCAGTTGGATACACCTGACGAAACGAAAAGCCAATAAGTGCGTTCAATTAACTAAATTCGTCCAATTGGAAAATTTGTAATTTTCTAATTGGTGAAAACGAAGGTCTTCCAGCTGGCAGAGTTGCCGTACCGTTCGACTGTCAGTTTGACACTAGTGGGGCGAAAGTAAGCAGTGTTGGTAAACATACGGGATAGCGCCCAACGTTTGTTTAAAAATTATACATATTTAACGTTATTTTGTGGTTTTTATGTTGGGTTTTCAGCTTGTCGAGCAGTTCTGTTATATATTATTTACTCGTTTAACTCACTGCCACTGTTTTTTTGTCCTTTTTGTGAGAGCCAGTCGCAAGTGACTGAAAAAACTTAAGAATCTTGCTTTTGTGGTTTTCAAACTTTCTTGTAAAATATATTATTGCTTAAAATGAATTGTTTATTAAACAAATGGAAAAACTGTTTTTAAATAATCTAATCAGAGGAAAAGAAATTATATTTTTTCTGCGCGCGCAGATGGGTATATATGAGAGAAAAAAGTGTTCAACACACACACACTCGCTCGACATATGTATGCGCTTATACACACACGCACGCACACAGTTACACGCACCCTGTTTGCACAGCGTTTTAAATTGATTGGTTTTCCAATTGGAATTTCCTTTGTTTTTCGACGATTTCGAATAGTTTCAATAGTTTTTCACAGTGTCCAGCATTTTCCGTTGCATTGCTGGTAATTTCTTGTTGGAATTAAAATGGTTCCGCGTATTAGTATTGATAAAATTTCTTATTAGAACTAAAATGCTGCTATCGAATCTTGTACAACAATCGAATAATAAGAATCGATAGATGGATTTATAGCGATGTTTGATGGACTATCGATGTTTCCGTTGGGGATTTAGCTGTCGATATATTGGTTCGTGACATGGCTAATACTTTGGTTCAAGTATTGGGTTTGGCGCCAGAATACTTATTTAAACTCCGTTCCAACTGTGAATGTTTTTATGATATTTTCCAAAAACATTGCCTATTAAATCCCTAACCTCCATGAAATTTTCCTGATATATCCTTGAGGAATTTTTCTTCAAGCGCTCATTTTGGAAACCACTCTTGGGGTGGAGATATTTCCAAACGTTTGGGAAGCCCTATGCGAATATCTATAATTAGATCTATCTATTCGAAATATTTTTGACGCTCAGTCACCTACGCCCCCACAAGTTTAAAACTTCAGATACCACTGCTGAACATATTTTTTCTTGTAATTCACAATAATATGAGTACAGTACAGCTTGGTGTTTGCTTACAAATAACTTACGTACATTAAAGCTCGTTTAAAATAGATACATTCATAGTTTGATTACATGTTTGACTTTCTTAAAATACAATACGGAGAGCTCCAAATATTTCACATTTGTTCCGGATTGTATGGCCCCGGAACTCAAACGCGACAGTGCAAAAAACAAAAATTGACATTATAAATATGCAACAGAATATCAGGAGATATACGAATGTACGATTATATCACAATAATAAAGGAATACATACATTTTAAATGATATTTAAAGCCCGACGTATAACGATGCTTAATCAGGTGCCAACATTCAAGCATAATACTAATTTACACTAATATTTCGTATAAAACATAGCTATTATTGTTACTGAGGGTCCCACGGATCAGTGCTGGAAAGGTGATCTCAATCAATCAATCGAAAATTCGGTTTCCACTCGATGGGGGCTTTATTCTTAGTTGTCGTTGGACAGATTTGTGATCTTGGCCGCATACATGCTGGCCACCTTGTAGATAAATTCATACTGCTCCTTGGTCTGAACCGCGCTGGCCCGTCCCCGTCGCACATAGTAGACCAACTGGGGATGTCCACGGATCGCTTGGGCGTCTCCAGACTACGGATGGCCATGTCCGAGGCGATAATGGTACCGGTGCGTCCCGTGCCTGGAGAACAGTGAACGGTTAGCGGTCTGGGGGAGAAACGGAGAAGGGAAGACACAGAACATTAAAAAGCCATGCAAGACACAACTGCTTTGGTATATGGTTTATAATAAGTTAGATACAGAATCGATTGGGTAGCTATGAAATACTAACTTATTTAAAAGAAATATTAATGATGAGAAAATATCTTTGATTTATAATACATGTATTATAATAACAGTCTTATAATAGCATCAGCTTAGGAATTTTTCTAACTTTATTAAAAATTTTTCTAATTTCGTTTTTTTCTTAATTTCTAAGACTATTGCCTGTTGATCTTCCCAATTTTAGTTATTTATAGAAAAGAAAATCAAAAAAAAAAAAAGCTATTCCAATTCGATCAGTTAACAGATATTATAACACACAATTATTCGTATAAACTTACCCCTGCTGGCTTCGAATACCGCTCCTACTTGAGATATTTCCATTAATCTCCTGGCTGACGTACTGCCCGCCTCGGCCTTGCTGCCATTCGCATCCATGGAGGTCTCCAGAGTGGCTGACTTCTCTCGCAACTCGTTGGCTTGCTCCAGGCAGTAGGACTTGAGGGATGAGCGCGCCTCCAGCAGCATGGCAATGATGGGCGCCTCCTCGGCGGGAACACCCGCCTCTGGCCATTTGTACCAGTAGTGGGTCAGCTCACGGCTCTCCTCGCCATCCACTCGCTTCAACACCAGTGTGGAGATGGCATATCGGTCCTTAACCTCGCGATGCTTCAGGGTCACCTGATAATCGCCATAGCTGCTGTGATTGTCCAGAGTCGCCGATGGGGGCAGATACTCGGCACACTTCTCAATACCGTTCTCGTTGAGATCCGTTGCCTGGATGATGACGCGGGACTGCTGCTCCCAGATCATGCGCCAGAAATCACTGGTCGTGCTCTCCAGTGGCGCCTGGCAGGCTATGTAGTAATTGGGCGCGTCTCGGGGGCCCTAAAAAGGTAAAAATATCTTAGTATCTTATCTTTTAAATAGATTTAGAAAGCTGATAAGCAAATAATATTTAAGATAAAACAGTGACTGATGAGTGCACAGAGCGTGGCAGAACGTCAGCAGAGCAGTGACAGAGGATTTTCTTAGCCCGTGGGCCGCCTCCTCTGCTTATGTTGATTACTGCCGAAATAATCTAAGGCCGTGCTCTTTTTTCACTACAAAAAAGTCTAGCGTGAGTAATGACATAACCATTAATTAAAACTTATTGCGGCTTAACTCTGCCTCAGCCCACACAGAGTGACTGGCGATGAGCAGCTCGCGCCTCTCAGATAAATGACCATAAAATCGCACAACAGACTTCTGCTGGCTAAATCTCGACATGCTCAGTTTGCTTATCGCCAGGTGCAATGCCGATGAACGCTGGAAATGTTTCGCTTCAATGCGTCGCAATGCATCTACATCTACATCCACGTCACGCTTCAATGCAGTTGCTTAAAGTAAGTTTTAGTAAACAACTGAAAACATCCCACTTGATGGACACTTGTCCTGTGCACAGAAAACAAGCAGTTATTTGCTTTTAAGGCTTGCATTTTCAAGAGTCATCTTTCAGATAATATACGTTTCACTTAAGCAAAACGTTTATTATAATACATACAGAACCCGAAATAAAGCCATTATCTCATTTTAAGCTTCGACAATTTTGTTTTAATTATTTTTTTAATTATTATCACAAAACATATCAGTTTTGTCATTTACGATGCTGTTAAAACGGAGATAAGCACCATCTTTATACTTTATCTTAAAGATACTATTTTCTAGCTTTGAAATATATTTTTATCAGCGTTCTGAAACAATTTTATGTCTTGAACTTGAAAGATCAAGATATGGTGGTGTTTTGCACATAAGAAAACAATTTTGACTAGGTGTTTAATATACCATGTCTTATTCCACCTTGTGTATGCAAAACACTTGATTGTTTTCTGAATGATTTTGGGAGGCTTAGAGCGTGGCGGTGGATCGTGATGTAAGGGCATTCACACTTCGATGATCTTGGCAGACACTTTCCTTTGGCGCAATTATTATTATTTGCTGCTTTTCGCAGAGAAAACAAAGGCGATGGGCCTATTTCACAGTCATGGCAAACGTAGGAGCAGCAGGTGAGTCTCATCGGGCGTGTAATTATTCGGGCGCCATGTTTAATGGCCCTCGAGAGGGTACCCCAAAGATTCCACTTGGAGGGCAGGGCGTCATGCAAGGCTCGCCACATATGCTAACCACTCGCCGAGATGCCTCAGCCCAAGCCACCCACCAACATTTGTGTGAGAAAGTTTTGTTTGTCTAGCTTTTCAGATGATGAGCTGATCCGCCGCCCACTTGGGAGACACCGCCTCGGTTACTTACCCGCACATAATTGGCATTAATGTATTCCGTTTTGTCATCGTCGCCTTGCCGCTGGAGCACCACCCGCGTCTCAGGAAGCGGAATCACGTTGGCGTAGCTGCGGTTCGAGGTCGAGGAGTTGAGTCATCATCGTCGGCGGTGTTGTTGTTGGTTCGGTTGGAAAACAAAAAAGCAGGAAGAGATGTTCCAGAGAGATCAGTATTGTAATTGATTCGACAATTTGATGTGAACTCGTGCCGAGAAAGTGAACCCTTAATTACAGTAGATTCGAGGAAACGACAAGCCCAAGGAGATACATTAACTGAGTAACCAATAATCACTTTACATAAAGAAAACGTTGAATAATTTACCATTGAACTAGGTGTAATCTAATCAATTCAATTTTTTGTTATCTAATCTTTAGATTTCATAATTGTGACCCAGCCCTTTAATGATTGGGACACACCTATGTATATCAGATTGTTAGGCGTACTTGGAACGCTCATTATATGGTTATTAAAAGATTTGAATATCTTTGTCTTCTAGAAAATTCACTTGAAATAAAATGACATCTTCGACAATCCTCAAAAAATGTTAGTTATGGCTATCTAAAGTATTCAAAATCTTCGTCGTTATAGAAAATGGGCATTTAAATTATTTTTTTAAATATACTTGAATGAACATAAAAAACTTGTTCCTTCCTTAATCTACAGGGTTATATTTTGTCTAAAACATAATAACGATCTACTGATAGAATCCCTAGATGACTATTGCTTAACCGGTATCTACTACTTTTAGATTCTTGAAAAAAGAGACTTCCAATTTTACTCACCGGTTCTTATCTTCACAGCCTGGAGGAACCTCATCTGCTCTGGCGATGATCTGTGGGACGTCCCGGAACTCCTCGAAAATATCGGACCGCCGTTCTACAAAGCGGGCCAGCTCTCCAGCGGTGAGTAGGTTGTGCCTCAGCGAGGGATCATCGAAGGCGGCATTACCATAGGTCCTCTTGGAGGCCCTAACATCGCGACCCTTCCGTCGCACACTGCCCAGCACGGAGACATTGTCCAGGGAGTATGCATCCAGGCTCACCGGACGACACCTTTGGCCATAGGACATTTGCTTCTGGCGCTTGCGCATCAGGTAGAGGAAGGCCACCAAAAGGATGAGGGCCACCACACCAATCACGCTGACTGTGATGGCTATGATCACATTCACATCCGTGCCATTCCCTTGGGCATTGGTCTGCATGTGGTCCAGTTCGTTGGGATAGGGGGCCATAAAGGTGGGTTGCTGGGTGGTGGTCTCCGGCAGCATTATGTTGCTACTCGTGGTGTTGACCACCGTGGAGGATTCTACATATTCCTCTGTGGTTGTGGGTGGTGGTGCAGCTGTGGTGGTTGTTGTGGTGCTGGAGGTGGTGCTATCATCCAGCAGACTTATCACCACGGTTGCATTGTGTAGTAGTTAAGGGCTTTTCTGTTGTGGTGGTTGTTGTACTGCTACTGGTTGTGGTTGTTGTCGTACTAGGTGTTGTCGTTGTTGTCACCGCCATCGTTGTCTTGGCTAACTGCTCTTCGGTGTCCTGCTCTTCGATCACCTGTTGCCCCTCATGATGGTGCTCCTTCTCCCTTTCGATTTCCTGCCCACCTGTTGCCGCTGTGCTCTCATCCGTTGCAACAGCAACACCTGCTGATGTTGTCGTTGTGTTTCGGTTGCTGGTGCCTCGCCTATATTGTTGGTTTCCAGCGAGGATTCGTGTTCTTGCTCAGCTTACTCAGGTCACTGAGTGGATTGGGTTCCCCTGTCGCTGGGGTGGTTTTCAACGCCTCCAGCTCGCTCTCTGTTATGGCCACACTGTTATTGACCGCGTTATCGGTTTTCTCAGCTGTTCTTGGCTCATTCGAATTCACATTCACATTTGCACTTAGACTGTCGACTGTCGTCTTCACTGTCACTGCCTCCAAATTCACTTCATTGCTAATTTGCGCAATTTCCGTTTGCGTGGGTGTTGCTATAGTTGTTGTCGATGTACTTGTTGTACTTGCGATGGTAGTGTTTTGAGTACTTTCAAAGATTATTTCAGGCCGTATCGAAGTGCTCACCTCGCCAGTCAGTCGCACACTAACCGATGTTGCTGTTGGCTCAGCGGTTGCTGTTTCTGGCGGCTCGCTCTCTGGAATTTTGGTTGTGGCAACGATGACGTCGTTACTGTTATCGTCGTCGTTGTTGTTGCTGTTGCTGTGCTGCCCTGTTGATGTTGCGATTTCAGAGGCTTTCATTGCCATTTCAGTTGTACTGTGACTGGGGGTGGTTGCAACACTAGATGTTGCTGATGGTGTTGCAGCTGGTGTTGCTATGTACCTTCAGATGTTGCTGATGCTTCAGCAATCGTAGGTGCTGCTGATGATGTTGCTGCTGTCTCTGTGCTTGCCTTTGGTATTGCTGCTGTCGTTTCTTCTGTTGTTGCTTCTTGTAAGATTATTTCAGGCGAAACATATTCTATAGATAATGGTCGTACTGTTGTGGTGGTTGTACTGGTCGTTGTTAATAAGGTTTCTGTTAAATTTTCTGAGATACTTTAGCTGATTCTGATACTGCTGTTATATTCAACAGTTCCGTTTTTGTTAAACCCACCCTCGCTGTTACAGGTGATGTTGCAAGTTGCTCTGTTAAGGCCACAAATGTTGCAGCCTCTGTTGCTGCTTCTTTCTCACTTTGAGCCTCTGTAATAGCCTCGTTAACTTGGCATTGGTTTATCATCCAACTTTTTACCAAAGGAACCTCCAAAAGTTCCGAGCCAACAGTTGTGGTTGTTATATTATGATCCAAGTACTTTTCTCAGTAGTCAGTGGCATTGGCCTGGCTGTTGTGACTTCATTTTGTTCAATCCTGCGGTTATAGAACTTTTTAAAGGTCCTTTTTCATCCAAAGCTTCGGTAGTGGCCTGTGTAGCACCCTCAGTGGCATCCAGAGTGGTTCGTACCACAAATTCAGTGCGATTCTCTGGTGCGATGGCATCATAGCAATGTGCATCCAATCCAGGAGATTCTTCTCCTTGTGCTGCTCTGTTTTATTCAGCGGTATGTCTATATCGTTGCCAGATCAGTGTGGTTGAGTAGTGGCAAGATGGTTGTGGTCGTTAGAGGGCTTTGGGAATCGCCTTCATCCCTGCCAGACTCCAAACTTCGCAGTGTTGGGTAGTGTTAATGCTGGGCATTTGTGGAGTTTTCGCTGATAAACTTGGCTCGCTTCTCGGGCAGTTGATGGATCTCCGACTGGGAAGTGATCCTCAATGGCGTTCTCATGGGAAGCAAAGGATGTGGTGTGGTTGTCTTGGAGTAGTTGTGGTTGAAGAGGTGCTAGTAGGTGCAGTTGTGCTAAGGTGAATGGGTATGGCCCTCAGTTTCATGGGCGTAACTGCAGGGGGAATCGGATAGACCCTTCAGTGGTTATGAATACTGCATGGATCGACCATGATCAGAGGAACGAGTGGTGGATGTGATATTAACCAATCTCTCCGTGGTGCTTGAAACTCCTAGTGTTACAGGTTTCATAGGAGTTCCTCCACAGTGCTGTTGGCCTTTTCTTCTGTCACAGGTTCAGAAGGTTTTTCCTTTGTTTCAGATTGAACTTGTGGTTCTTCTTTTGGAAGGGGATCACTAATTGCCATATCCTTTTGCTCGGTTTTTCACTTAGCGGAGTTTTTCAGTGGTTGGGGCTAAAATCTGTTTCGCTGTTGTTACTTCTCTTACAGGGTCTTCTGTAGATACATGGTCTTCGAGATAGGTTGAGTTTTTAACACCTGAGTCGCAGTTATAATTTGGAATCTTCTTTAGCCGCTTCTGCTGGGGTATCCTTGTTTGTCAGTTCTTTTATGGGAACCGGTTCAGTTTTTTTCTCTAACTGAACTTCCCCCTCTTTCAGTTTATGTTGGTCTCACTTACTGGCTGCTGGACTCATTTTGAACCAAACCCTCTGTGGTTTTCTTAAGGTTGAGATTCTCTTTCAGACTTTCCGTTAGGATCTCAGTTTCATTTTGACTCTCAGCCTTAATTACTCCCTTATCTTCGAGTATGTTTTGTGAGTCAATCATATCTGATTCTCCCTTTATTTCAACCAGTTCCCTACCCTCCCACTTTCCCTGGTCGCTGGAAGAATGTCAGGGTCAGTGGATGTGGAAGCCACCGCCTGCTCCAAACCGGTGGTTTCTCTTTTCGCAATGAAACGTGCCTGCGTTAACATTACGGCCAGGGCGAGCATTAAGCCACCACTGAACATCCCAACCACACGCATCGTATGTCGCTCTTCTCGTTCTAAAGCTTTATATCTTTCTCTTTCTTGTGGGGCACCTCTGTGGGTCAAGTTAATTCCACGTTCGACTGGGCCTCAAAATCGTTTTTGTTTTGGTTTCCACCTTTAAGCTTGAGTTATTGTTTGTTTTCTTTTATTTTATTTATTTTTAGCAATTTGCAACGATTTCTGGGATTTTTGCCTCCATTTTTACCAGGGAAATATACCTGCAAGAGAAGGGAATACAAATTAGTTAGGCGGTTGAGTTTCTTGTTAAATCTTATTAGTTTTTATGGGTGAAATAAATAGCCTGACATTTTTGGATCGCCGTACGTTGAAGTATTCCGTGGAAAGTGATAACAATTTCCCTTCTATAAGTGGAGCTCTCCTATACGTAATTAATGTCATTAAGACACGTTCCGCGTTCCCCTAAATACAATAAGTAGTACCCTCAAGTTCAAGGCCAAGTGGCTCGTTTGGGGGAAATAAATATAACTGAGATAATGGTAATAAATAGTCTTAGTTCTCAAACTAAACTAACCTGTGATTTATGATATATTTAATGACTATGACGTGGTCCAAAAATTATACTGGTATACATTGATATCATATAAGAATTATAATATAAATGATCTTTATTTCCATATGTACTTCGGATATTACAATAAAGTTTTACTATTAAATACCTTTAATATACAAAAGATTTCTTTAAAAGGTATGCTAAGAAACTTGAACTTGTTTCTCAAGTTCAGTTTGTCATTTTCCCACAATAAATAGTGTCAAGGAAGTCTTAAAAGTTCATTGTACCCAGTGGCCAAAAATAGCTCACATCAAAGTGTTACCATCTCCATCTCCACCCACAGCTATAGCTCCAACTTTGAGTTGCGAACCATTCATATAAGCCCAATCGATGTCATGGAACGAAGTGCACGGGGTTCATTCAACCACGGCCTCCATGGCGAACCCATCAAAAGTTGCTCTGGGAGTTGAAGTATTCGAGCTGAACTGCAAACAGAGCCACCCAATAATAACTATGGAGCGGATATACAATATATCCAGAGAGGGCGCGAGTTTACCGACTTTATTCACCATGGTTATCGCTGGTTGTTATCTGCCGATCCAAGCGATGTCATGTCAATGGTGCATGCAACCACCTCAAGCCCCCCCTGGAAAAACCCCTGTTCCCCTTCTTATTTTTAACCACCTGGGACATTCATAAGCCTACCCCCATGTCAGCAATTAACACTAAAAGCCCCAGTTCGGTGGTTGCCCGTCACTAATGACGTTACCCTTATGGTGGTGTGGTATTCAGGCGTGGCGCCACCCTCTCGTATCCCCATTGAAATTTATTTAACCCAGAGTGTTACCCCCTTAAATAATGCTACTTTCTTGTTAAAATACTTAAAATTCCTCGCTTTATTACCATTCAGCTGCCTTTTAGCCATGCGCCCGCTGACTAATATCTCAAAATACATATATATTTATGCACTTGTGTGCCTTACAGATAAGATTTGCTTGAGCCAGACGGGGACAAAATCACAGCAAGGTATTTTGTAATTTTTTTTTATATTTTTGAATGTCAACGCTGGTGCTGATAAAGAAAACCAGCGGCAAAGGTAAATAGTTATCGGTGATATTGTTCTTGTCACTGGAGGCCAGCGGTGGGTTGTAAAAGGGCATAGCGATAGCCACTGGTGGGGGCAATAAAATATTGACTTAAAAATATATAAAATCATGTGACAAAGCAAAAAAAAAACCATCAAATTATCAACATCTTTGAAATACCATATTTAAAATAAATAATACAATACATTTCGTTCCAATCTTCTTAGTTAAAGTGCTTATAGATCAAGCTGTAAGTTCATTATAATCCTTAAGACTACTAAATCTTGGTATAGACCATGAAAGGAAAAATGGTATAATGGTAAAATATATAGTAATTAATAATGGAAAATTACGTATTTCAAAAAATTTACATAGAAATGATAGATAGATCTACACCAGCCTTACAATTTTAAAAGCCAAGAGTATGCAATGCTTGTTGTTTATATTCTAGTACCAAAACCCCACACACCAATGGCGCCACTGCTTAAGATCAGGTTTTAAAATTATAAACTTTGGATACTGTGTGATTGCCAACAACGGAGGAAAATAGAACCACCTAACTATTGATACAGTAAACCACAGCCGAGGGCAAGGGAGGGTCAGGAAGACCCCCGTCCGCAACCTGAACCCTCCACTTAACCCAAATGAAACCAAAGTATCGGAAAACGTGACTTTATCGGGAACTGAGTGCATCATGGCATTGGACTCTGAACTAAAGGGGGACATAGGGAACGGAGGAGCAGGTGCATGTATGAGATGTAAACAGAATACGAGAGTATTAGAGAAACGAGCTTGCTGGGGAGTCTACTCATTTCCGCTTGAGCAGCACGCACTCAGGATGAACGAATGGCTCAGAATTCTCAGACATGGGATCTTCATCCAACTCCAAAACGGAAAATCCAGCGATAACGATCGCATTGAGGATGATCGCGAGAGAAACTAAACCAGTTTTTGCGGCCCAATAAAGCCCGCTTCGATTTCGATTTGCAATTATGATTTCACTTGCATTGCGATCACGATGGATGTGGAGAATGGCTGACGATCGCCTGGTATCTTAATGATCTCGGGTGTAGTAGTTGTTATTGTGGCCAGTGATAATGACAGCCATCTGGGTAGTCATGACTTGAATCTGCGCCGGTGATTGATGGCCAGAAGCTTTGAGCGATTATACTACTGGGGATAGGATCGTTAGCTTAAAGCTAGAGATTGTTGGGAATTTTTCCAAGTGAGCTTCAGTTGTTATTATCCCAATCATTATACCAAAATTCGCTTAATCCAGATGATGTTTAAGCTTAGAAAGATATATAAGCGGAAGGGGATCATAAAATGTTATGAACTCTTATGAACATGATATAAAGTGCAGATCTAATGTACTTTATGTTCTAGATTATTAGAAATGGAAATTATTGCTGAAATCAAGAAGTATATAATAGATCATCTGATTCGTGATGAATCACTTAAAGTTAAATTGCTTCGTGGAAGTAGCCCAACTTAACTTGAATTACTCTCTTAATCCAAAGCTACATCTCGCTTAACCCAAATGACAGACTACGCAGACTCCCGGCTCGAAATAGAATTCCAAAGAATGCCAACAGTTAGCTTGGATTATTCCAGAGGCATTTATATAAGCTGCGTTCTTGACATTTCTGCGAATTTCACTGAGGATGGCGATGAAGATGGAGATGTTATCAATAATGAATTGCGAGCGGGGCTTACGCTGCTCCAAAATCAGCCATGTGTGATGGAGAATGCGAGGCGTCGCACGCTCAAACGATAACTGTGGCATTACTGCCATATATCTATACCTATATGTATATATGGTTTGTATTGGGACTTCTTTTGTTTTGATTTTCTGATGTACCGCTATGTTATATACGTAACTGTTGAGAGAAGTATCCACGGAAGTATCTCATTCGAACGACTCAATCCTCAGTATTCTCTATTTACGAACTCCCCATGCGTATCATAGCATCATTATGGTTAGAAGATCTCATTCACTCATTCCACTCAAATACGAACTCGAAATATTTGTATTTGTTTCCATTGATGCTGTTCGACGATGACTCATTTGCATGACATTTGCTTATATCATGCCCCATTCTCATTCGCATACGCATTCGAAGACAAATTTCTGTGATTTGGCAAAAATCAGAGACAACATGAGGCACACTCTTTGCCTCGAGCTGAACTTTCAACGCAATTATGTTTATAAAAGAAATCGAAACCCGCAATGAAATCGAACTCAATCTCGAAGATCCAAAGCGGTCAACTGCTTTATTGCACCACGGATGTGCAAAAGCTTTCGGTACACAGCAAAAATAGATCTTTTGAAAAAATTACAAAAAATACGGGTTTTTATCAATTGTATTTACAAAAAAACTAAATTTTTTGACACAGAAAGTTTCTGAAGTACATTGTCAATACGAAAAAAAACGTGTTCATGTTGAACTGATATTTTACTTACACAAGATAAGAGATCGTGATCAACGTCATTTCTGCTTTTAAGTCAACCTTTATTTATTTATCAGATTTTATCATCAACTTAATATAATAAAACGATTCGGGTTAATATCAAAAATGTATTACCCAAATATTATCTTTAACTGCTTTTACTTTTTCAATATTATCATTATTTTTTCTACGTGCACTAAACGATCGCCTTCATCAATTTTGACCTTGCTGGCCGAGCTATTGGCGTTTATTGAACCAGCCAGCTGGGGGCAACAGCAACATGGTCCGTCGAAATGGCCAATGAGTTCAGTCATTAATGCTGCGCATATATATTTGGGAAAAATAGCGATCGCCGGATACTTGAACGTGTATTAATTCCATTTTTATACTATTTTCCGCAACATATGATAGCCATTGCCCAATTTTAGACTGCCAAATGTTGCCAAAATTAAAACAGCTGCTTTTATTTGGTAAGCATAAAAGCTCAAATATTATGGAGTGGGTATGTATCCTATAAGGAATTACCTATCAATCAAAGACACCCCGAAATCTGGAGAATTAGATTTGATGAGCGCGATAAGGGTATTGGCCACGCAATATGCAAGTTAAGTCCCCTTCGTATATGGACAGGCATTTGTCCAGTCATTCTGGGTTGTCTTTGCTTATCTGTTCTGTGCAATTACTCTAATGACGGGCGCATGTGCTCGTACTTGGGCTCAGATACACACATCTATGTCAGCCGCATAATTGCCCCTAATGCAATTGAACAATTAGGCAAGCGCTGCGGCTCAAGCGCAAGCCACACAACAAATGCAAAATAGACCCACAAATGTTTGCACTAAAAGAAATACTTAAAGTAATACAATTTAATAGAAAAGTAATCAAATTTGAGTACCTAAAGATTAGTATTTTTTATGCATTTTTACAAGAAACACTGAATTTAGGAATTCTTTTCTAGGCATTTTAAGTATATTTTAAGATACAAATTGCTTTCTAAACATATTTTCATAAAATGCATGCAATGAGGTGCTTAACTCTCTTACATATGATCGCCTAATTAAAACAAATATGTATTTTTATTGTTATAAACTCTTGCTGAAACCCAGAACTATATTTAATTGACCGAAATCCGAGCTACATTTTCTGTTAGTGTTTTATGCATGGATAGATA